TAAATACGATTGTCGTTTGTTTGAATTTGGTCTTATATTTGTTTGTTATTTATCGAAGTTTTATTTCAAATAACATCAGAAATTATATATATAGATATTGATCGATATATAGCACTTAATCGTTTTATATCGATTATAAAATATCGTTATATATCGATTACAGCTGTTTTCATAATTCCTGGGCCACCCTAAAAAAATTTGCCGAAGTCTATTCGGCCGAAGCTGATAAGTTATTTATCTCAGTGTTACACAACATATATAAATGCATAATACTTGTGTACCAGTCGAATCGATATCTATTTTTTAAATTCGTCAAAAAATATGATACTTCCAAAACATACGCGTTGGAAAATAGTTGAAAAGAACTTAGAAGGCTTGTCAGCTAGAGTAATTGCTAAACACTTGGGTGTTAGCAAAACTTCTGTGGATCGAGTTCTCAAGCAATTCCAAAAGTATGGCTGTGTTGAAGACTTACCATCACTTTCGGGCAGATCTCGTTTATTGAATATAGATGACATTAAATATCTCAAAACTTTAATGAAAGAAAAACCAGATTGGTATTTGTATGAATTACAATCAGAAATGGAACTATGGTTAGGACACACAATTAGTCTTACGACGATTTGGAGAGCTATACATCGACTTGGATATACAAATAAACAAGTAAGATTTTTTTTAATTATATAATTTAATTTATGAATATAATATTACTATAATACAATATTCTAATATATAGATTATATAGATTTCAAAACTTGCTAAAGAAAGAAATAAAGTTGATAGAGATAATTTTGTTATACGAATGTCTCAATATACACCAAGTCAATTAGTTTTTTCAGATAAATCGGCATATGATCGAAGAACTTTATCACGACGTTATGGTTGGAGCTTTTCAGGACTACGTGCTCAAAAATATACTTTCTTTGTTAGAGGGAAACGATTTACTATTGAAGGTGCTTTATGTATTAATGGTCTTTTGGCCTATAGTATTCAAGAAGGTTCTATGAATACTAAAGATTATAATGATTTTATTGAACATGTTTTAGTAAATAATTTTAATTTATTCTATTGCTTATTTATTTATTTATATTTATAATTTACTATGTATATTTACTGTAATATTAATAAAATATTTTAATATAGTTACCAAAAATGAATCCATTTCCTGGACAATATAGTGTATTAGTTTTAGATAATGCAATTATACATAAAAGTACACATTTAGAAGATTTATGTAGAGAAAAAGGAGTTAGGTTAGAATTTTTACCTGCATATTCACCTGATTTTAATCCTGTAAGTAATTTATTTTAATAATTTTATAATAATTTAATGTATTAATATAATTATAATTTTTATTATTTAATAGATTGAACAAACCTTTTTTTATATAAAAAATTATTTACGACAAAATAAGATTTGGGCTGAATCAATGCCTAATCCTTTAGAAGTTTTAGATCTTACTTGTATGATGATTAATAAAAAATTAGCATATGCATGTTATCAATATTCTGGTTATATACATTAATAATTTATTAAATAAATATTATAATAAATTTAAATATAATTACAAATTTTAATGTAACTACATATATATTAATACTAGGCTAATTAATCAAATAAATCATCAAATTTTATTTCAATATCTTCTATTTCAATCCAAATATTAATATGTTCCTTTATAAATACTTGACTAATAATTTGTTCAGGTAAAAAAGTTTTACTATTTATATCTAATGATGATTTAATAAGAAATCGCTTTCCTTTTGGTGAACCATTAGGAAATATAAAATTAAGTAAATCCTGAAATGTCATATTATTAGTAATATGAATATTAGATTTAAATGGTGATTTTTTTTTAGTATGAATTGTTGCAGAATGAAGTTTTGATGTAGTTGTTGATAGAGAAATTGGATCAACTGTAGATGTAGAAGTAGAACCAATTATAGATGTAGAAGTAGAATTAACTATAGATGTAGAAATAGAATCAACCTCAGACATTAAAGTAGAATCAATTGAATCAATTGAATCAATTGTAGAAGTAGGATTAAAATCAACTATAAATATAAAAAATAAAATTAAATATTAATTAATAAAATAAAATTTTTAATATTACAATATATATAATATATTTATACTTGATGAATCATTATTTGAAGTTCGTTTAGATATTGGATATTGATATTTAGTTTTGTCAAATGATGGAATACTTGGTGGATTTTTTTCATCAACACCTTGCATTTCATTAAGCTTTATTTAAAAAAATTAATAATATATTTACAATATAAAAAATATATAATAATACAATCACAAATAATTTAATATTTACAATAGCACGAGCCCACATTGTAACCATATCATTATCTAACTTTAAATGTCGACCATCTTCAGAGATTAAACATCCTTGAATATGTATTTCACATGATAGAAGATTTTTGTAAATTTTTTCTTTAATAATATTTAATTTATTAACAATATTTGATTCAGTTTCAAGTGTCTATAATAAATAAATAAATAAATTATTAAATAATTAATAATATAAATTAAAATATAATGTATTAATAACTTACACGAATTCTCTTATTAGCTTTATCATCTTTATATTCCTGATAAACACATAAATGAATGTTTTTTTTATATTTTGCTTCAGTAACAAATGCAATAATAGCTCCATCCGCTTTTAAATCATACTGATCAGCTTTAGATGTATTAGAAAGCTGATAACAAATGTGACCAAGCTCAATTTTCACCCACTGTTTTGGAAGAGTACGTGATAAAATTTCCTCCTCAACATTTTCAAAGTCTTTTATATTGTCAAGAACATATGGAATTGCCAGTGCACCATCCAATTTCTTATGAGGTTTCTCAAACCGGTTATAACATACCTATGTAACAAATGCTAGAATTAAAATATTCATAAGTCAAAAATAGATTAATTATATACAAATAACACAGATTAAACTTACTAACAACAGGCTCCTTTACTATAGACATTTCCGATTCAATAACATTATGATTTGCCATTTCTAATTCTGTAATGTTATAATTTGTTATTTCAGACAAGTTGGGTAAGGTCAAAGTATTTGTTATGGATGGATGCAATGGTTCTATGCTTGATGAATATGATGACTCTTTGCTTGTTAAATCGATTGTTTCAATGTTTTCATCTAATTTATGCTGGTTTTCTTTTCGACCTATAAAAAAGTTAAAATATTAAATATAATTTTTTTTTAAAATAAAAATTATAAATATATAAAAACTTTACTTTGAAATTTATTATAATTATTAAGACATTGTCAGCAAATATTAATAAAGTCTTGGCCTTTTGTTTCAACTTGTGTTATATTGTTTTCAAACCAGTTGACAAATTCTCGATCGTATTTAACTCTTTTTTGGTTAGCGCCTCTTTGTGTAATATGTTTAGAAAGAAAATCCAACTTATGGTCAGAATTTTTTTTACGCTTCCAGTGAAGTTCTATTGATTGGCAAGAGCAATCTTTGCCATAAATTTTTGTACAAACTAAGCATGTCATACATGTTGGACAAGAATTAAAACGAAAACTTAATAAAGGCATTGGAATTGACATTGCGAATGTACTGTAACAGTAACACAAAAATTCTTAAAATTCTTTTTATATACTGATCACGCACAGATCATACCGAAATCAATAACTTATCAGCTTCGGCCGAATAGACTTCGGAAAATTTTTTTAGGGTGGCCCAGGAATTATGAAAACAGCTGTAATTGGATAAAAATTGATATATATCTATAATCGATATACAGTCAGACCTCTCTAAATGCATAGCGTCGGGACCATAGTAAAAATTTTCAAAA